CACTGCTTCTTGTTCAGACTTCTATGTTTGTATTACTTCTCATTTACATGTTTCTGTAGATGGAAAAGGACATGAGAAGTGACACAGAAGAAAGTGACAAGGATGAAGAAAGAGAAAAGATTAGGGAAAAAGAGAAAAACGGGATCACATATTTCAGCAGTGTCACAAGCAACAATTATATCCAGAGGAATGGGTCTGAACCACTGAACAACAGAACCCATCTCACCAATGGCCATGTCAAGGAAAGATAACTACTGTTCACGTGCTTCTGATCTGGTCTTTAATGAATCCAGTCCACCATCTTTAGAAACAGTTTTGCTCATTGTGTAGATAAAATGGAGTGCAACTGAAGTATCATAGCTGAATTCCTACTACCTGTAAACAAAGTGTTTATAGTAAGTGATATGTGAAGGAAGTTTTTGGTCTTTCTTCAAAAAAAGCTTACCATAGGTTGTAACCTTGAAGCAGATAGAAAGGGATCAAAGTGGTTTGACTTGTATTAGACTGTACCACAGTTGTTAAATGTGTTAATTTTGAAAAATATTAAAAAAAAAAAAAAAAGATGGAATAACTCTGGCAATGTCAAGTCTTAACCACCTAATGTTCTTTGATAAGAATCTGTTTAGCCTTGATCAACCTCTGGAGGCCCTGACCCATTGCCATTAATGATTATGTCTAACAAGTAAGTGTGAGACTTTAAATCTTAATACAGAGACACCTCTTTTAAGAAGACAGGTGCCCCATACACACTCAGAAAACTAAAACTGAGCATAGTGAAATTAAAGCTTTATAAAGACATAGGAGAAAACATTCTCTTCTCAAAGAAAATAGTACTGTGTGCCATATGACCAGTTTTGTAATGGTATGGATCTCGGTCCCTTCTGTTGTCAGCGTTATTGCCACAAAGGTGGGAACTCCAAAGCTCAGATTGAAGAGAGTACCCACCCAAATCATAGTTGGAAGAGCTGGAAAATCCAGGCAGCCGTGTCTTAACTATCAGTTAATCCTTTAGACCTGTCTTGGAAGGAAATGCAGTTAGAAGAAGGGAGGTGACAAGAAACTAGATAATCTAGAAGACAACACTGATTAAGTGCTCATGTTTTCACTTAGTGTGATTGGGACAGTAGGAAATATTTACAGAGTCAGCTTGTGGCAAGAAGGGAGTACATTTCCCCTGTCCTCAGAGGAAAAAAGATCCAGAGAAGATCTGCTGAACCTTATGGAAAAATGCTTTAACATGGCCTTCTAACTCTGGGGCCTTGTCCTAGATGTATCAAGAATAGCAATTTTAAAGCAGTAGTCCATGAAGTCATGATGCAGTTCTGATTCAGTTTGTTTAGATGACTTATATCCTGTGTAGTCTTAGACTTTGGATTCTGTAATCCCTTAAAAGAGTTAAATTAGTATGACATGAATTTCTGTTTTATAGATTAATTAATTTATGAAACCAGAGTATTAACAGAGTTACTGTAATGGGTGCAGGGACTTTGACTGCCAAGGCCATGCAGACACTTCCCTATATATGCCCAGTAAGGGCCAATACTAAGTGGGGAGGGGGGGACATGGACCAAGGAAATGCCTGATTTGAGGAGGTGGTGCACATGTTAAAATGCAAATGACAGCATAGAAGGACTAGAGGGTTTTCAGCAATCTACTCAGTTCACCAGTGGTATGACTGAGAGAGCTTTGATCTGAGCTTGTATGTGCTCATCTTAGGTTTCAGTCAAAATATACTGGATAATTTCAGAGGGGAAAAAGTGGTTCCAGCATGCGTGATTTCCTGGGTAGTAACATGCTTTGGGAGGAGAGCATCTGTTTCTGCATCATCATTTAAATTTGTGTTTGCTGAAAATAGGTTGCCTCTGAAACCCTGAGGTAATTTGTAGTTCAAACTACATGTTTTGTATACTGTCATGTTTCTTTAGTCTGAGTCTACAATCTTCACTCCTCTGCAGGTGATGTGTTCAGGAGGGATGCTTATATATAATTTTGTACTACTGAATGTAAACATTCTTCATAAATTACTTTTGAAAATTTTGATTGTCTGGGCTCTTTTGTACTTCTTTAACTAGCAGGAGGTAACTTGGCTAGTTGCACTTTACAGGCGGATGTGTGATGAGACAGACATGTATGGGTGCCATTACCAGGGTCAATACACATGCAGCATGCATGGAGGGGATGTTGCATACCCAGGGCATGCAACCATACTGGGCTGTGCCAGTAGAGAAATGCAGCTGCCTGATTTATCTCCTACTAGGTAAAGCTGCGTTTGGCCCTGGAACAAGTGACACTTTGGAGCACCACTGCACTAGACTTAGGGGTGGACCAGGTTACTTGGTACTACCAGCGCAGCTGGGGAGATTCTTCGGACTTGCAAGGATAGGAGGAGAGAAAATTAATGTATCTTTTCCTTCTTCATGAAGTTTTAGAAGACTAGGAAAGATCCCTTTTGTAAAATCACAATATCTCTCACCTGAGGAGCAGATTGCTTCCCAGAGACTGCACAATGCTGTGTGGAGACAGTGCAGACATTTGTTGATGCCTGCTGAATTCTATCCTCAGGGTTTTGCTATCCTTCTGAAGATTGAGATAAGCTTATTAGCAGGCAGATTTGATTCTTGTGAAAGGATATACTGAGGATTCAGGAGAGCTGTTGGACTTGCTTAAGAACTACTGAGTACTGCTTTTAGCTGAGGAACTGAGCATAACAGTGATGAGTCACTGGGGCAAGTTTTCTTGCCATCAACTTGCTAAGGCTTAAAGAAGTTATGTGTGTAATCAGCTTCCTGCCCACATTGCTCCACCTTCTCTCTATGTCTGCACCGGTGTTGGGAAGCTTGTGAGTGCTATGATACTATTTCTGAATTTAGTGTATCAACTCCCTCCACCCCGTCCATACTAGGGGTATTATAGCACCCAACACAGAGAAGCTGTTGTAGAAAACCTGCAGCAAGACTGTCGTTTGTCTGCTGAAAAAGCCAGCAGACCAGGTGGAGCACCAGGCACCATAGCAGAATCTGAGTCTATTTGTCCTGTACCTTTATCACTGCATGTGCACAGAGAAGGTGTGCATTGCATGTTACCAAGCAGCGGTGGGAGATGTGTCCCTCTTCAAGTGAGCTACGAGAAAAAGAACATTTACTAGTACTCCCAGGCTGCTGTGTGCTGGGTGAGTTGAGGCCTGGCAAAAGCATGGCCCCCGGAATGGCATTGAGTCGTCCCAGCCCAAAATTATGGCTACCACAAATCTGCTGACTCCAGTAGATGTGGACATCTAATGCTGGTTTTGCTCTTATTTTAAGAGCAGTTTGTCACAGTTGTTCCCTTCCCCTTGCATACACTTGGGAAACATCAGAGAGGTACATCCACTGCATTTTTTCATTTAGACGTGTATGCCCAAGGGAACCTTTACTTGGATGGCTACACTTTGAAAGGCATTGCTTTTCATATTCACACAAATACAACAGACACAGTGCCTGCAGGTAAGGGCATCCCTAAGAAACGGCAAGGCATTGTTAAAAAATCTGAAGTCATGTCTAAACAAGGAAAGTGGAAAGGACCTGTAACTTTGGCAGGTTAATGTGAACATGCAATAAAGCAGGCCAAGAAGTATCTTGAGATACAACATGAAAGGCTATACCAGTCTCTGAAACATTGGAAAGACTGCAGGAGTCATGGATAATCAAGGCATATAGCAAGAACACTGAGACAAGATCAGGCTAGAGCCAAAAAATAAGGTGAGCTGCCTGCATATGAATTCACTGCTTAGAAGCCCAGAGAAGATCCATTTCAAGCTGGTGGGTGAGAAGATGTTACATAGGAAACACACTAACTGAACAACAGTAAACCTTCAAACCTTTGTGGCATTCACTCAGGTGTCAAGAGGAAACTCATACTAGAAAGAGTTAAACTACCAACTGTGGAGTGCCAGTTTTTGGTTCGAATCATCTTGCTACCAGAAAAATTTAAGAAGTTTCCAAGTGGGAATGTGAGGAGCTACAACTATCTGTAGTCACATCCAGACTGGTCAGACCAGTAGAAACTGTAATAAATGATGGAATTTGTGGAAACACAGTTGAACATATTATTATAGGAAAGAGTCCCCGTGGGTTTTGTATGAGAAAATTATGTCTCAGTCTGCTGGAGTTAACCCCAAAGAGTCAATGAGCACACACAGAGGAGAGAACCTGCTACCTACTCAGCTTTGCAAAGGCATTCAGAAAGGTCCCTCACCACAGACTTAAAGAAATCCACCTGAGGTTACCATGAGACACCAACAGGGATTTTTTTGCAGCTATGTATTTTTGCAGGTGCCCCAAAAAGGAGGAAGAAAAGGCAGATGGCAAAACGGGCTTATAAAGTTACTCATGATGGTGATGATGGTGCAGAGTGACAGCAAGCAGTTGCAGAAGGTTTTAGGTACTGAGGGACTGAGTGATAAAACCCAAGTGAAATCGAATATGGAGGAGAGCAATGTGGTGCACATGAGAAAGTCTCCTGAAGTGCTGGGCTGAGCGTTAGCACTTCAGAATAGTTTTGGGGAGCAGTATATCAACTTAGTGCTCAGTATGTGATGGTTCAAAATGCAAATAGAATATGGGATGTTGCTGGGCAAGATGGAGGAACCAAATCTGAGACTGTTGGGGCCCTGAGGGTGCCAGAAGATCTTAATGTCTGTGGCCAATCTCACCTGGAACCTCTATCCACACCCTCTGCCAGGTCACAGAGCTGATTAATAAGTGAGGGCTTTGCAGCCTGAGAAGGAAGAGGCTGGTAGAAAGAGAAGCCCCTGTTGTTACTGTCACCAGATAAGAGCTTCAGTCATCTGTGTAGCAGAGTGTAATTGAAGTTAGCCACCTCCTTGACACCCACTAAACTACTTTCTTGTACTAGGACATCTTGCCCCACCTCCAAGCTCATGGGCAGGTCAGAACAAGCAATGCTATTTCAACTAGTCTGAAGTCATGAGATTGAATAAGAGGTGGGGAGGGTGAATGATGAGCTGTTGAGCTAGGAATCCTGATTTAGGAGGGAGTTTTATGCCTTACTGCTAGCTGCTTGCCGAATCCCAGAGCCTCTGCTTTCTGTGCCCACCATATTGACCAGGATGGGACTATCAGAGGGGTTCTGGCACCATGAATATTGGCTGCCACCTGGAGCTACCTGGGAAGACATGAAGGAGTCTGCAAACATACACTATCCACAGCCTCAGAACCTCTTGCTCTGCATCCCTGGTGCCCTACTCTTGATCATTGTCCGATCCATTTTTGAAAGGTGAGTGCAGAAAATCTGGTTTCTCCTATGCTGGTTGCCACCAGTGTCTTGCAGGATTGCTCCAGACTAATCCTTGCCTTCTTCCTGACCACTACAAAGTAGACAGGGGATTGTACCCAAGAATACTGAATCTCTCTGCTCTTTGTGGCATAGGGCATTTGTGTGAATGTACATTTCTCTTTGCCCTGCTCTCCCTCTCTCCTCTACTTGTAACATAACCTATACCAGCAGCTGTGAAAGGACAGGTCTGTCACTCAGTCATACCTCAGCTGTGGGTGGAGGGTCCCTCTGGAGAGAGTCCAAGTGCGAGCTTGCAACAGAGATAAGGGATTTGCTAGGTACATCAGTGTTGGGAGCTCCCAGGTGAGCCAGGGTTCAGCCTGATCCTAGAGGATGCTCCCAAAGGTGGTATGTGAGCCCCTCAGCACAGAGGCAGAAGGAGGGGATGACCATGGCTCCTGGAGCTCGTTGTGGGACCACTTTGCTCACACCATTCCTTGTCCAGTTCCGCCCTGCCGTCTCCTCCCGGCACCAGAGGTCTCGAATTCAATCAGAGGTGATGTACTCCATTGCCCTAGCTGTGGACGTTCGCTTGTCTGAGGGAAATGGTACTCCCCAGGGGAGCCTGAGGACCAGCTGGCATCTCCCAAGGACTCCATGTGGAAACGAGACAGTTCCACCTGGCTCAGCACAGGAAATGGATTCAGCCTGGGCTTTGGGCCCCTTTTCCAGGAACACAGAGACTAGCACACAGAGAGTTACAGACCCAACCCTCATGCACAGGAAATTGGGGAAACAATCAATCAAAGCAAGGCACTGTGCTTGTGTGGGCAGACCTCCCCACCAGGCAGAGCAGGACTTCAAGGTGGGGGAGGGGGAAGTGATGAAGCAGCAGCAAGGCTGTGCTCAGCAAACCTGCCCTCAGCTGAGACATAGGATTTCTCCTGTGGCCTAGAGGAGCTGGGTGAACACTAGCCCATCTCCCTGGAAAGCTGGCTCCTGCTTGCTGTGCATAGCCATATGAGAAGCTGTGGCAGACAGGGGCTGTAGGAAGAGCCAGAATTAATTCTGGGGTCAACAGCTCTCCCCTCAAAGGTGTTGCACTTGCCTGGCTTACTAGAAACAAAGAAACAACAAGAATTTTATAAATCAGTGTCTCCCATTAGAGCTTTGCTGGGGTTTCCTGCAAAGTTAATGTTTCTTGAAGGAACCAGCATATCCCCATGTGCTCTGTCCTTGGCTCCCACTTCAGCCAGTGGTCGGGTACCCTGGACACAGCACGTGAGACACTCAGACACTTGCAGACTCATTTCATGACACAATCTGGACTGCTTGAGAATGTTGTAAAGGGGACCAGCATGCACTCCCAACACAGAGAAATACAAGGTGTCTCACAGCCTCAGGAGGAGAATTAATTATTGCCTACTTTGTAGTAGTTATTGTTGTCTGCACTGCACATCCAGCATTCCCCACCTTTGCCTTGGTGCCACTGTGTCTCTTGAGAAAGATCATTGACCTGACAGAGGCACTAATCCTTATGTGTCCTTCCTGGGTCCCTTGGGCTGTGCATGTGTAGCTGGGGTAGTGCTGGACCCCTTGGGCTGGGTATGTAAGCATCCAGGGTAGTGCTGGACCCCTGGTGCAGGGCATATGTGCACAGAACACAGCACTGGCAGGATCTTGCTCTTGGCTAACCCTAGCTCACAGCACAGGCACATGCATCCTCTCCAGGATTAATTCCTTTCCTCTTGCAGAACCTTGGCTCTGCCCTTGGGCAGGAGGTTGGGTGTGAGTGACAAGCTGAGGCCCAAAGTTCAGCCCAATGTCATGCTGGAAGGCTTCTATGTTCTGCTGGGCAGGACCCCAAAGGAGGTGAGTGTCCCCTGCGTCCTGGTGTCCTGAGAGCCTACACAAGCAGTGCCTTCACTCTGTCCACATACCCCAGCTAAAACCCCCAACCAAAACAGCCTCAGAGGCAAGGCAGTTGCTGCTAACTATCCTTCCAGGGAAGAAAATATATAATCAGATACTTCAGCATCGTTCAACAGCTGCAATCCCAGCACTCCCTAACCTGCTGCACATCAAATACAGCAGGTCGTATGAGAACCGCTGGCTCTGGTAAGGAGTCAGCCATCACCCCGTTTGGGTAGAGTCTATGGATAAGGTTTGTTATTTTTAGCAGAACTACAAGTCCTTCAGAGTCATAAAATCATTTAGGTTGGAAAAGACCCTTAAGATCATAGAGTCCAACTGTAAACCCAACACTGCCAGTTCCACCACTAAACCATGTCTGTAAGCGCCATGTCTACACGTCTTTTCAATACCTCCAGAGATGGTGACTCAACCACTTCCATGGGCAGCCTGTTCCAATGCTTGACAATCCTTTCGGTGAATAAATTTTTCCTAATATTCAACCTAAACCTCCCCTGGCACAACTTGAGGCTCTCATCTCATTTCTTGTTACCTGGGAAAAGAGACCAGCACCCACCTCGCTACAATCTTCTTTCAGGTAGTTGCAGAGAGGGATAAGGTCTCCCCTGAGCCTCCTTTTCTCCAGACTAAACAACCCCAGTTCCCTTGTGCTCTAGACCCTTCACCAGCTTTGTTGCTCTTCTCTGGACACGCTCCAGCACCTCAGTGTCTTTCCTGTAGTGAGGGGCCCAAAACTGAACACAGTATTTGAGGTGTGACCTCACCAGTGTCAAGGACAGGGGGACGACCACTTCCCTAGTCCTGCTGGCCACACTATTTCTGATGCAAGCCAGGATGCTGTTGGCCTCCTTGGCCACCTGGGCACACTGCCGGCTCACATTCAGCCAGCTGGTGACCAATACTCCCAGTTTCTTTTCCACCTGACAGCTTTCCAGCCACCCTTCCCCAAGCCTGTAGTGTTGTGGGGGGTTGTTGTGACCCAGGTGCAGGACCCGGCCCTGAGCCTTGTTGAACCTCATACAACTGGCCTCAGCCCATCGGTCCAGCCCGCCCAGGTCCATCTCTAGAGTCCTTCAACCCTCAAGCAGATCAACACTCCCACCCAACTTGGTGTCAGCTGCAAACTTACTGTGGGTGTGCTTGAGCCCCTCGTCCAGATCACTGATAAAGCTATTAAACAGAACCGGCCCCAGTACTGAGCCCCGGGGAACACCACTTGTGACCAGCCACCAGCTGGATTTAACTCCATTCACCACCACTCTTCGGGCCCAGATTATGACTCCTGCTGATGCATGGATTTTAAAATTATTGACTTAAATTTGTATGAAGCTTTGTCAGATTAATTAAAAATTTCTCATAAACTCATCTTTACATTCATTTTAATCACAGTTCATAAATCTTAAGACTGGGTAGTTTTATTTGGAATTCATGCATAAAATAGTGTGTGTTGGAAATCATGCTTTTCAGCCTGTAAATGCGCAGTCACTCAAACAGATGTTTTTTCTGACATTACTGAGTGAACTATGCGCTTGTTTCTTTATCATCACAAGCTAAAGCTTCTTTTGTCTCAAGTTTGCGATCTGTAGCTGATAACTATCAGTCAAAATTGCATCAGAGGTGAAAAGAAAATGTATTTAGACTTTTATACCAAAGACTTTAAATCCCATTGTGTACAGCTGGCAAAATTAAACCAGGGAGAGCCCATGCCAGAATTATCTGGAAGTTCACATATGCAAATAGAGGTGATATGATTGATTTTTTTTCCAAAGAAAGGTGTTCTTCAGGGAAACATGGACCCACAGTGGCAGAGGCAGCCTGCAGGAACCTAAGCTCTTCCACCCACACAGGGACAGACAGCCTTAGGAAGTCTCAGTCCTGCTTCCCGGATGTTTTCTAGGGGGACCTTGTTTCCCTGGCCAAGCAAAGTGACCTGCCAGTCGAAAAGGTGAAGATCTGGTTCCGGCACCGGCGGGCCCAGGACCGGCCCAGGGTGATGAAGAAGTTCTGTGAGGCCAGGTAGGTGGGACAACAGAGGCTTTTGGTGATGGAGACCTCCAGCAAGGTCTGAACACCATCACCATCCGCTGCCCAGTCCTTAGCCCAAACACACTCCCGGAGGAGCCCACTGCCAGCTGTGGCTGCGAAAGGAGACTTTGTACCATGAGGCTGGGTCCCACCACTGCACGCTGCCAGCTTCATCCTTCCTTCCTTTCCAATTTTAACTTTAAGAAGTTAAAATTGCCTCAAAAGAGTCCACTGGCCTTGATGGAGATCAGGTTTAAATCTCAGATGCTGGAGGGATTTGAGGAGATATGCCATTTGCAAAGCGCATCATACTGCTTCTCAAGATGAACTTGACATGAAATTCAAATTTTAAAATATTCTCAATGTGGATTGTTGGGCATAAAATAAATCCATGAAGTGCAGTTAGTAAGCAGTACAAGCCATGAACAGAGGGAGGTAAAAACTGAAAAACACTAGAAAGTATTCATTTTCCTCAAGTTATTTGCTCCCCTGAACGAAATCTTCCTGCATATCTCAGTAATATATAGAACCGGAAGGGAATGAGGAGTTACCAAGTGTCTTGATCAAAAGAATCAACTTATCTCTGATTCTTAGCTCCAGGTTTAATGCTAAATGTACACAAAGACCCCCATCAGGTATGAGATCTACTTTCCCTCCCACTCTGAAAAATAAATTATTCAGTGCTTGAATCCTGTTGTTATGCTTTTTAAAAAATATTCTCCTGAAAGCTTGCTCAGTGATCCACACTGCAGCATTTCTGAGGAAACTAACAAAACCACCGGTATCCATCTGACATGACTGGGAAAAAATTAGGTGCCTTCCACAGGCTGTGGTGTATAAGTGTTTGCATAGGTGAGCCACAAACACCCACATAAAAAGAGATGGGTAGAGGCATCTTGGTAGTCATGCTGCATCCTGTTTAATGCTGACGGATTATGCCAGGAATTTGGGCACAGTGTGGTCCACAGCAGACCCTGGGTGGGCTGTGGATACTCTGTTGCCTTAACAGCACACGCGTGCATGTGCAAACGGAGCTGAGGTTCTGCAAATCCCTGTCCAAATAAGTATAAACTCCCATGCGCTTTGCAGCATCCTGGGCACAGCCTGGGGAGCTATTCCAACCCTGGAGGAAGTTGTAATTTCTTGGGTTTTTTCTGTTTTAGCTGGAGATTTGCATTCTATTTCACCTCATTCTTCTCTGGGCTGGGACTCCTGTATGATGTAAGTACATGGGCAGGGTGATGCTTTGGAGTGACACTATTCAAGGGTTCCTCACTCATGGCAAATGCAGCCAATGGTCCTGGGCCGTTTCAAAGAGCCCATCCAAAGGTCATGTGTGGCCATGACTAAGGGTCTAAAGCCAAAGAATGACAAATTCAAGGGCATGGAGCAGAATTATCCCCAATCCTGATCCAGCAGAACCGTCCCCCTTTCCTTGAGTGGACCTGGCTAGGTGTCAGTGATGTTACCGTGGTTTCCTCCTTGTTTTAGATCACTGTGTAAGTGATTCCCACTGATAACCGACACGCAGCCCTCGCATCTCAGCCAAGAGCAGACCCTGTGCTAATTGTGGCTGCTGCCCACTGCATATTGAGACTTTTCATGTGACATCACTACTGACAAATGCATTTTGCCAACCACTTTTTTCCAAAGCTCAGAGGCAGGTGGGATCTAGCACAGGCACACTGATTTCTTGAAGTGCTTCTTCAGATGGTCATTATGTGTCATTAAAAGGCTGTGAGTCTGTGAGTTCTTACTGCAGCTTTCTCTCTGCACAGAAGCCCTGGTTTTGGGACCACACTGTGTGCTGGCTGAGATTTCCACAACAGGTGAGCAACAAGTACATGGACTCACAGGATAATTCATATTGAAAGGGGGACCAGGAGGTCTCTTATCCAACCTCCTGCTTGCATCATTCAGCTGCAAGATCAGACCAAGTTACCCAGGGTTTTCTCCAGTCTAGTTTTAAAACCTTCAGAAATTACAACAATACAACCTCTCTGGGCAATCTATTCCACTGTTTGACTGACCTCATGATGAAAAAGTTTCTCCTTTCATCCACCTCTCTTATCTCAACTTATGCCTGCTGTCTCTCATCCTCACACCATGGCAAACAGCTTAACTGTCTTCCTCACAAGCTCCTTGTAGGTTCTCCATACAAGAGCATTCAGGAAGTCTCTCCCTCTCAATGAGTTTCTCTGTAACCCAACCCTGGCTGGAAGCAGCTCTGTGTGTGTGGCTACAAAAGTGGTGGTCAGGACATCCCTCAACCTCTCAAAGCAGGGAGTGAGATGAGGTGTCCAACCCCCTGCAGAGGGGAGACCCCAGTTCCTCTCAGTCTCTCTGCAGACCGGCCAAGGCTGGTCCTGGCTTTGAACTAGGCTTGACAGTGCATCAGCAAACAGTTCAGTCACAGGAAACGAAAATTTAGGCATGACCAACCCTATTGTCCCAAACATGGGTGGAATGAAGGGGCCTTGCCTGGGAAGATCCTTCCCCTCTCCCATCCCCAAGGGCTAGGGAGGGGTGTCACACTGCTCGTTGCTTGTCTCACAGCCTCTCCCATCTGCATTGGACTGGTTCTACCTGCTGGAGCTCTCCTTCTACTGCTCCCTGGTGGCCACCCTGCCCTTTGATGTCAAGAGGAAGGTGAGTGACAGCAGCACAACTGCAACCCACTGGCTTGGACGGCCCCTGCCAGGAGGCTTTCCTCTCTCCCTGTCAACTCCCCAGGAGTGCAAAGGACAAGGCAAGCATGCTGCTGCAAAGACCCCTAAGCACATGAGCTCCCTGCAGCTCTCATATCCCAGCGTTGCACCTTACACTGGGTCCCACTCGTGCAGTGTGTCCTTCCTGCCTGCTAGGCCAGGGAAGTGCTGGGGGCTCACATGGGGTCCCTACGCCTGGCCAGGGGATAGCTGCTGGGTGGACATGGCATCATGGCCCTTCCAAGCTCTGGTCTCAGGTGCAGTCTGAACCAGAGGGCTGTGTCCTCCTGGTGGGAGGAACTAGGCTGTTGTGCATCCAGGAAGAGGTGCTGCCTGGTCAGGGTAAGACTGACACACAATCTCTCTTCTTATGCCAGGACTTTAAAGAACAGATCATCCACCACATTGCCACCATCACTCTGATCTTTGTCTCCTACTGTGCTAATCTTATACGGTTTGGGATGATAGTCATGCTGGTCCATGATGCCTCTGATTATATTTTAGAGGTGAGTTACCCTCACCCAGAAATGCAAAGCTGTGTTTGTGTGTGTGGGTAGCACTGGGAACTGTTTGACTTACTATATGACACATGCAGATGTGTTGGCCCACACAAGAGGGCCACATATGTACCACACTGGCAGTACATTTAGGAAGTATCAGAATTACTGCTCTTCAGGAAAAGTAAGTGAGTGCACAGGGACTGGAACACATCCCAACAAGCCTGGTAACCCTTACAGGACATGGGAGATCCCCCAGCCCCCTAAAAGAACACAGGCACATGGGACATACAGCACTTTGTCTCTCTACAGCTTGCCAAGATGCTCCATTACATGAAATGGAAACGAGCCTGTGAAGCAGTCTTTATTGGTTTTGCTGTGGTTTTCATCATATCCCGGCTTGTCATTTTCCCATTAATGTGAGTTACATTTTAATGTTCTCTGAACATGGGTGTTATGTGCTATTCGAGCTTCTGGAGAGATGACCCTCCATGCTGAGAGGAGGAAAGTCAGGGACAGGACACTACAGGTAAGCTCAAAGATTAATCCAATTGGAACAGAGGAACCCAAGGAAAAAAAAAAAAAAAAAAACAAACAAACGAAAATACCCCAGAGTTTTAACTATATTAATGAATTAACTAAATTAATCTAGGGACACAGCCTCTGCCCGCCATTTTTACATTCTCACAGTCTCTCCTAGGCAGGGACTGTCTCTCACCTGGAGGTCTCTCTCATTCTGTGATGAGATGCTTACTTGCAGCCACAGCAGCTGACTTCTCATGAGCTACTGTGGCACTGGGAATGTTTTAGGACTGTCTTTCTTGATCCTCTTAAAGCCATCCCCACCACAGTCTGAGGGTAATCCTTCTTTGTCTCTACTCCTGCTCAAGACCTGGTGTGACTCTTCCAGTGTATAGGAAGTGGTGTCCTGTCACAAACACTGGCTCCTACAAGAGAAAGAAGGTACAAACTGTACAGGTTAGAATTTCCCAATAATTTCTTAGCAGACTAAAAAAAAGGCCTGCTTAAAGCTTTGTTAAGATAAAATTAATATAGAAACAATGGCATAGTAATTTAAAGTGACCCTTCATCTACTTGAAGTAGAACAAGAAAATTGTGAGTACAAGCTAAGGATTCAGGAAGTAGGATACATGCTGGGAGGATATCAGCAATGATACCTCTGGAAGCCACACAGGCACCAGTCTTGGAGAATGGCTGTTGCCAACACACATCTGACCATGCTCTCAGCCTTTAACTACGCTGAAGTTGTTGCCCTTTCTTTACAACTGCCAAGTCGCCTGGAAAACCTGATCCCAGTTGACTTCCCAGAAACTCACTCCACAACACTTGCATTATATTCTAAGGTTTCTGTTTTCTTTCAAAACCAAACTTTTAATTTATTACACCCAGAATAATTTTTAAAATAGGACATGTTATATACACATAAGGACAAGTCAGCATTGCTGTCCTCTGTTCCTGCTCCGACTCCATACCAGCACTGAAGATGCTGAGTTTTGAATGTTGGTCCAGCTGCCATTTAATTTGGATGCCTGTGAGATTGACTTTGCGTAACAAGAAGTCGCAGATTCTGGCGGTGAAATTGTTCCCTTAGAAAAGCAATAAAAGATTGAGGTAACTTTCCTGAGAAAGAAACTAGAATAACCATGATTTCAGTTGTCTCCACTGAAAAAAAGTCAAGCCCCATTATCTCAACCCACTGTATCATAACAGAAGGACAAAGAAAGTAACAGCTGTCCCAGGTCAGACCAAGGGTCTGTCTAGATCAACACCTGTCTGCATCAGCAGCAAGAAGCAGAAATCTAGGAAGGCAAGAACAGAGTAAATAGGTACTATATTCACAATGTTTCCCAGCTTCCAACATGTCTTAGATTTCATGTCTTAGATAACTTGCCGAGGATGACACATACTAGTGTCCATCATTTCTCTCCTGTACCAAACAGCTCTCTGTTCTGTCTCCTCTCCATTTCCAAACCAGTGCTTTCCTCCTTTCTGTCCTTGTCTAAATGATGATAGAGAGTTTCTGTGACTTCTGCCAAAAATAATGCCCTGCCCAATGGCTCATCTGTACCCTCAACTCTTCTCTAACTTCAGTTAAAACAATAATTTATAATCTTTTTATTTAAGTGCCAGTAGCCAGGTCCCCTTATGACTTAATTTTTGTCCATTATTCCTCTCCAGACTCATTTTAGGAGAAATGCTTCCTGTTCCTTCTTCTTCTGGGAAGCATTGCAGGTTTCCAATAACCAACCCATCTGCAAAGACTATCGCATTGTTGATGATTTTAATCAGGTCCTCTGGGGACTGGGACATGCTTTGTGAGAGCTGGGCAGAGCATGAAGCCTGAAGGTGCAGTCCTAGCACAGCTCAGCTCTGCCCTGGGGTCACATGAGCCAAGTAGTTGTCCAGAAGGACACCTGACCCTTGTAAGTGTGAAGATATTTGGCTTGCTTTAGTCTTGTGTCTTCTGATTTGTCTCTCCCTCTCTCTTACCCACAGCACATACTATTACTTTGTGACGAAATTTCAGTTGTTCCTCATAAGCTGTCTGATAAACACTTTCCTGATGATCCTGCAGTTGTTACACATTTTCTGGTCCTATCTAATCATCCAGATGCTCTTCAGTGTCATCCTCCATGGTGCGGTATGAAAAAAATCTTTGTCTCCTCTGTGCCACCACTACTCATGAGAGACCATGAGACCCAGGGTGACTCCTGCATGCCTGCAGGGAAGGGGTGGGAGGAATGAGACTGCCCAACAAACAGCCCCAAAACTTCTGAAGTCATGTGTTGGCAGTTGTGCAGATACCCTTGGTCACAGAGAGCAGAGCAGCAGATCACTTAGTTTGCAGCTGTGTCCTAGTGACGTGGAGCCATCCACAGTCTTTTCCCCCCACTGACTAACAGCTTCTCAGTATGCAGTTTGCAAGACTAGGAACCTGCTGGTATGTCAGAAGTGGAGTAAGGAAGGAGCAATCAGGTAAGGCTGGTAGGTAGCATGGTGTATATTTGCACCTCTGAGTTTTGGGTGTATTCCACATGCTTTTGATGCATGCCAGAGTTTGCACAGGGATCACTGAAGAAACCTTGTCATCAGAGATGACAGTTCCCTGGCCTGCTTTGCTAACATAAACAGATGGTAGTTTTGTCAAGGCTTTGAGGATCTGTGGCCAGAAAAAAAAACACAAAACACCACAGTGTTGGTGTTATGCTTTCAGTTTACCTTGAACTACTCCTTCATTGAAGTTAAATTAAGAAAAAAAAAAAATTTCTGGAGGAAATGGTGGATCATACTCTCATCAAGTTTGTAGATGATTGCAAAATGAGGAGACCAGTCAGTATGCTCACTGGTGAAATACGTGTTGACTTGCAGAGCTTTGTCAGTAATAAACTGCACAGGAAAATATGCAGAATAACTATACGTAGAATACATACTAAATTATTTTCAGAAGGTCACACTATGAGAACATTATTAGGGTGACAAAAAAAAAAAAAAGCATTCAAAAGTTAGATGAAATTGTAACAAAGTCAACCTCTGGCTGTTTAAGTCAACCTCCTAATGCAGGGACAATTGCAACACTGGCTATAAGGACATGATCATATGTATCATTTTTATTTTAGCTGTCAGGTTAACACACCAATGTTGTGAATGAAAACAGGAGTAGTCCCCTGCAATATATACCATGATGTAGTTTTTGCAGCTTATTTAAATAGTCTTTCTTTCCTACAGAAAAGAAAAGATGCCAGAAGTGACACTGAAGAAAGTGACAGGAGCGAAGCAGAGGATCTAGCAAAGAACGAAGTGTAATGCAGGTCTTGCTGCAAAACACGAAGAGCCAGGCAGACTCTTAAAAGCAGGGAGGCGGAACAGGACCTCAGGAGAGAGGCCACACAGGCTCACGGACGGCTTCACAGGAGTCTGCTTAAGTCATCATCCACTGTCTAGATGAAAGTGAATATCATCATAGCATTTACAGGCAGTTAAGTCACTTTGGGAGATGATTTCTTCACTTCTCCTGTTGTGACCATTCTTTTACTACTACTCTTATGATCATTTATCCAGGGAAAAAAAGGTCTACCAGCCAAAGCCTCACTGTAAACAGAAGAGGGGTTGAACAAGCTGTTAAAGTTATGACACCTAGCTGTGGTTATCTCAAAAACTTCCCAAAGGTTCCCAAGATAATAAATTGCAACTGCTGAAGATTTAACTGACTTGGAATTTCAGAAGATACTAGTAGTTATTTCCAGCCACCTAATGAAAGGACTTGCATGTCAAAGACACTAGCTTAAGTGGCAAATAAGTTTTCAGTTCAGTTGTATAGTATAAAATGATCGGGCTTCGGGGAAGGATAAACTGCTTCTGCAAATAAGGCCGGGGCAACTGATAACAAGCTGTCTGCTATATGAATTATACAAAATAGCTCATGTCTAAAAGATTTTGCTATCTGAATGTCTACTCGGCGAGAAGGCTCCTAAAATTGAAAGCAACTAAAACTCTTCCAAATGCACACTTGTCCACTAGAAATTATAATTTAGTCTAAATGGAAACTCTCCGTAGGGATGCATTCATTTTGTCGAGGCTTCATTTTCAAAATTGGAAAATAAGTGTTACATTTTAACGGGATAGTTTAGGGGTTAGACAACTTTTCACTTTGTAATATATTGTATCTGATGTAATTTTCAAAATTTATAGTGGAACATAAAATTTAAAGTCAACGTAAAAATGAATTATACCTAAACCAAAGAGTGTTGCACCTAGATTTTGCATGATGCAAAAGTGGTTTAGAGTAAGTCTTACGTCAGTAGGAAAATCTTCTTAGAAACTTGCAGGAGGTCTGATATCACTGCTAACGCAAAGGCTCAGAAAATGCAGAGGACCAATAAATCTACATATATATATATATCTGTAAACAATATAAAGAAACCTGCAAACACTGTCTTTAAAATATGTTTTCTACTCAGATTTGGAGTATACTTCCAAGGGGTCTGACACATTTTACACAAATACTAGGAGAAACTGTTTCTGAGAAATGATAAGAGGTGAAGAACATAGGATGGTATAACTAGAACACACTGCTGTGAAGAACCATGGTCCATCTCCTGCATCTGGCCCATGGAAGGCAAAATATAAATAAAATCAGGAAAGACGTGTGAGAGAAAGGCAGAAGGAACAGAGCCAGCATTCCCCTGAAGGACTTTGACATTCAGATCTGTAGGAAGCAATGCTGAAAGGCAGCCAGCCACCTATCTCTGTGGGACACTGGCCTCCAAGAAGGATGTCACCTAGCCACAGCTAGCTGTACTTTGCTGGGAGTGCAAGACCCTTCATTAGGATACCTGCTGTAAGGGTTCTGCTATCCTGACATAGTTCTCACAGTGGTAGGATTGCTTTTAACCAACACGTGTCGGTAAGGCTTCTCCCATTCTCCATAGATTATGATCATTCTGTTCAGGAAGTACATATTCCTTTCAGTGTTGCTGCATCACATCAAAGAACAGACTCTGCTAACACAGATGACAGATAACACTTGCAGTACAGCCACCCAGGTTGGTGCTGTCACACTCTCCCCTTCTCGTCCAGTTAAGCAGACTCATGAGGCAGCCATTCTCTCAGCTGCTCCATCCTTGGAAGGCCTGAGCACCCTTGGAGGTTCATCCCCTACTGCTAAGGCCATAGTCTGGCTCATCAAACCCACTTCCTCATATGCAGTCTTTAACTAAGGCTACACTCAGGTCCCTGCTCCTTGCACACTCATTTCAGTGCTTTGGGATGGGGATTTTTATTCTGTGTCTGTACAGCAATAAATCTGAAGGGGACTAAGAAAACTGAAGCAAGCCTTAAGTGCCCCAGTTTGCAAATGGTTATCATCACATACCCGAATGCATAAATCCAGAATAGCCTCCCTCCTTCTGTGGTGCTCTCCAGCCTGGAATAAAGGTAATTTTAGCCATAATTACATAAGCTGGGAAACTTGCTTAGTTCTGGCTAAAATGATACTGATACTGGTTATGACTTGACTGCAGTGGTTGTCTGTTTTGTTTTTTTTTTTTATCTGTGTCCTACAGCACTAAGACCCCATACATCCCGCTGAAGATTCCCTTGACACACATTTGATTTATTATTTTACTCCTACAGTATTTTCTAACACTGGTGCAATTACTTTCCTGTCTCTCCCAGCTGTTCAAAGGACAGAGAACCACAGAGGTTAAAGGTCAGAGCAGCCCTTTATTTAGCATCAACCCTGAGGTGTATATGTATCATAACAACGCTTACCAGTATTTCCAATAATGGTGTCCAACCTTTGTGTAGACACAAAGGTTTCACTGTCTTTTGCATCAAGTTCATTTGCCAGGTAGAAAAAAAGACAAAGTTACAAAGGAACAGGTCGATTTTCAAAATGAAAAAATTTCACAGACCAAACTTGACATGATCTAACTCCTATCAGCTGTAAAGCACATGACTTTTTCTTTCTGGTTATGCTGGATCTGGCATCACTTATGCCAATGTAGCAAATCTTCGCACAGAGACACACCCGTGAATAGGAAGGGGGCAAGGGAGTTTGTTATCTATGACTTCGCACATATCAATGTAGGGATCAAAGACAACTACAATGGGGAGGGCACTGTTCCCCTTCCTCTGGCCAAGGAGATAAATTCGTCCATTCACAGTACTGCATCCCATGAAGAACTTCCGGGCCAAGCATTCCTCATCTACCTGGGTCCATTCATCTGTCTCCACATCAAATCGAAAAGCTCCCCCTCCTATGGTGTACAGAGCACCATTCAGTGATGTGATGCAGAGGTCGTACCTAGAAGAGAAGAAACCCTTGATCAGAATTGTCATGGTTTGAGCCTGGTCAGCAACCAACCCCCGCAGCTGGTCACCCTCCCTTCCCCCTCCCCAGCTGGGAACGGGGGAGGGAATTAGAGGGGTGAAGGGAGACTCGCAGGCTGAGATAGGAACAGTTTAATAATGGCAATAAAACGAGAACAATGATGATGATAGAAAAAAAAAAGAAATATATAAACAGGCAATGCACAACGTAATTGCTCACCACCCGCTCACCAATCCCCAGCCCGTTCCCGGCCAGCGACCCCGAGATACCGAGATCCCACAATCGCAATCCCAGAAGCGAGAGAGAGAGAGAGCGCGAGAGAGAGCTCCTTCCCGACCCCCCCTCCTCTATACAGTGAGCATGACGTGCCATGATATGGAATATTTCAGTGGCCAGTTCGGGTCAGGTGCTGTGGCCGTGCTCCCCCCCTGCTCCCTGTGCCCTTGCGCACGGGCAGGACATGGGGAGTCGGAGAGTCCTTGAAGTCTCGGTAGCAGCTGAAAACATCAGTGTGCTGTCAGCATTCTTCCCATACCAAACCCAAAGCTAAATCCAAAACACAGCACTCATCTAGTCCCTGAAAAGGAATATTAACTCTATTCCAGCCCAAACCAGGACAAGAATCAACAGAAGGATCTGGCCCTGAAATATTCAGTGTGACCTTGGTCCTCAAACGAAGAGTCCAGTTTAAACAGAGAATCACAGAAGTGTTGGGGGAACAGGACTTACAGATTTCTCCAGTCTAACCTCTTGCTGGAGCAGGCCTAACACTAGAACTTTTCTTCTCCTGCCAGGTCCCAGAAGATTATTTCTTACCTTGGAAGTGGGGAGAATGAGATGACATCCCAGCTGTCCATCTCTGTGTTCAGTCTTTGCACTCCATCATATACATGTCCATTTTCATCCAGGCCACAGGCCACATAGATCCTGGTTCCCACACTGACTGCATCTCCTCTCTCCACGGCGTGAGCCATAGGACTCATGCTTTCCCACTCTGACTCCATCAGAGCCATGCGCTCCACTGCCGGGATTATCCCTTCATCTGTGCTCCCTCCAAGGACATACAGGTAAAGCCCTGCTCCTACTGCACAGTGGCTATTGCGGGACTTCTTCATGGCAGGCCCTTCCAGCCAGCTATTGTCCAAGCAATTGTAAATAAGTACCCAATCCACACTATACCACACAAATTCATCCCGGAAATATCCTCCTGTCACAAAAAGGAAGCTCCCTGGAAAGACAGCGGAAAAAAGTATCAGTTACATGAAGCCTGAAAATTGCTCCCAAGAACTAGGATTCTCATTTCTCCCTGGACTGTACTGATGAGGTGCAGGATGAGCAGAGAAAAATTACTGCTCTTAATCAGTTTGCAGTATTTGATTCCTCATCTGCACATATATGCTGGGCCTACAGGATGTAATAAGTACTTCCAAGCCTGCTCCCACTCCTGAACAGAATCATGGAAACAGTGTTTGAAAAGAATCTCTGGGGATCTCATGTCCAAATTCCCACTTGAAATGGGTCTATCACCAACACTAAATAAGGGAAGCCATGGTATTGAACTGTCTTGAAAGTCTCCAGTGTTGAAGATTTCACAACATCCACGGGTAAGTTTAACTTAAAGACAACTACAAACAGAAGCCACCATCTGTCAAAACCACCATGAAAGAAAAGGCCAAAAAAATGTGCTGCTTAAAGTGAAGTCATTAGACTCACTCCAGATAAAGCTAATGTAAGTTTAATAGTTTCTGCTATATGAAAAGAAATATTCAGCCTTGTCTAACATTCTCCTAGGACTAAGGAAAACAAAACCATTCTTTGAATTAATATGAACATAAATATGAACGAGGTTTTTAGGAACACTGAACAACACAATTTTACAGGAGAAGCAGCTGAACTCCCTACATTTGAGCCTCTAAGCCTCAACTTCTGTTTCCATTTGCTCAGTTCCACTTCTCTGTAAGTTACCTACTGCTGCCACTGCATACTGGGTGAGGTTCCTGCGCTGCAGTGGAGAACAAGCCTGCCAGGTCCCTGTTTTAGGTTGAAAGAGAAATAATTCTTGCTGTTCCTTTTCATGCTTTCCTCCCAGGACGTATAAGGTGTCATAGCTCCGACCAGCATAAGGACACAGTTCCATATTTTGCCAGCTGAGCGGAGGGCAGCTGTCTAACTTCTTTATTAGTCTGGAAAAGGTATCTGTCTCTCCAGGGTGCTTGCTGCGTTTCACCAAGATATCGAGGAAGGACAAAGTCAGAAAAGTGACCCTGACTTCGCCCACCAAATCCAGAAAGTCTTTCTCTCTCATTGCTGGGTCCTCCATTATCCACCTCATAATACTGTCAAAAACCACATCTTCTTGCGAAACAAAGAGGTCATCACTTTTTAGGAGCTGCATCAGCATTTCTTTGGGTAGTGCTTTAAATTCTTCCTGGTACATCACATCCCCCCAGTGAGTGAGAGCCACATTCATAGCAGATGCATACAGCTCTATAAAGGCAAATCGCTGTGAGTAGATCATCAAGCCCAGGCAGTTGGAAACATGCAGCTCTCTCTCCAGAAATTTCTCACACAACAGTTTCACCCTGTCAAACTGAAAAAAGTCAGCTGTTTCCAGTAAGCTGGTCACATTTTCTCGACTTATAAGCACTTGGGCTGTGTAAGTGAACTCAAGTAGTGCCTGAAAAGGCACTGCATCAATCCCTCTGATCACTATGTGGTATTCAGAGCTCTCTCTTGCCCCTCCAAAAAACATGGCTTCAAAATAACGACTGTGTACTGAAAGTACCCTGCGGCTGACCTGAAAGAGTCTCTCTCCAACCTCAAGAACTGCGTCTGCGATCATTTCTGTCTGAGATCCCAGCTCCTCTGGTTCTTGTGCGGGCTCCATGCTTGTTGACCATCAGGCTGTTAATTTTAACTCAGCCCTTATGTAGCCTTTACTCATGTGAGGTCTCTGGAAACATTATCCCCTCCCTAGCTAGGATAAATATGAGATAAGCCAATCTTGTCCTAAAAATAGAATGTTTTCTACCCTCCTGATTTGCTCTTCAGTCTTTCCTGGTGCTTTCAGAGCAGCAATACTAGGAGAGCTGTATAAACAAAACCCACGTATTTAATTGGCATCTACCTTGTCCAGGTAAGACTCCAGTGAATTAAGGGATCTGATATCCAAACAAAGAGCCTGGACTACAAGGAGGAAAGAGGAGAAACAATCAAAACCTTCCTAAGCACTGACTAAATATCAAAAAGTTGTAGAAGAACACTGAGACCATTTGGAAGAAAAGTATCCATTACAATACTTACCACTTCTGCAAATCAAAACTTGAGACTTCCTGGGAAAAAACACTGATTTCCCCAAAGCCACATCCTTCATCAGTTCAAGTTTAATATCAAATTCCAGACTGCTTGCAGTATTTAGTATATATTTAACTTTATACTTTAGTAAGAGATGGTGGGAAAGAATGAGCCCCCACTCAAACCCAGATGGCTGTCAGATATTCGGTCATCCTCAATCTCAATGCACTAAATAAATATAGTCATAGCGCAAGCAACAGTTCACTGGTTCCACACAGTGAATTTTTCCAAAGTGTTTAGACCAAACTACGAGGTGGAAAGATTTGCGCTTGAACTAGTGCCCCTTATCTCAAAGAGCCCATCCCAGCAAGACTCAGTCTCATTTCTCAGTGGAGTTCAGCAAGCAGAATAATGCCATCTGGACCAAGAGCACATTTTTTTTCCCTGAGCTTCCATCCTGCATTTCTGGAAGAGGCTTCTACAAGACTGCTGTTACAAATGGCTTGTCACATTTAGGAATTAGTCTAATAGAAAAGTGTATACACATTTAAAATTCAGCTATAGAATCATAGAATAGTTTGGGTTGGAAGGTACCTTTAAAGGTCATCTAGTCCAAACCCCTGCCATGAGCAGGCATATCTTCAACTAGATCAGGTTGCTCAGAGACCCATCCAACCTAACCTTGAATTGGCAGGGATGGGGCATCTATCACCTCTCTGGGCAACCTGTACCAGTGTTTCACCACGCTCATTGTAAAAAATTTCATCCTTATATCGAGCCTCAATCTACCCTCTTTTAGTTTAAAACCATTACCCCTTGTCCTATTACAACAGGCCCTGCTAAAAAGCTCATACCTTACCATTTTCATGTACTTATTTGCAGGTACTTGACTCCCAAATATAACCCAGAAGTCTGCACTGAAGAAAAGGACAGCCATGTATCTTGCAATGAAGACTGAACAATCCATTAACTGAGCAGGAAATGTTGGAAACATACCCTTCTAGAATTTGCACACTTAACACGTGAATTCAGGAAGATCTCTCTGTACCCTCTGCATCTAGAGCCTGGAACCACTCAAGAGCTTCAACATGTCTGTTTCCAATGAGATACTCTGAAAACAAGGGAGTGCAGAGAGGATGTGCAGCATGGTATTGCAATCAACCACCAGCAATCTCGCCCACCTAGGGGGTGGTTCAAGACTCTGCTCAGGCTGATGGTGAGCAAGTTCTGCTCCAAGCACTAAATAAGGAATCTCTTAAATTGTGCAATTGCATGAAGAACGAGTGCTGTAGTGTTACAAAAAATTATGTTGGAAGGAACATGACTCCAGACAGCTCTGTGAAGCACTCAATGAACCTCTAGGAGATTAAAATCCAGAAGCACTCAAGTTTACACAGGCAATATGCCACACAAGACAACAGGTCCCTAGTTTCAGTCTCTTGGAAAATTCAGATACACTGAAGTGGAATTTTTATTTACTTCAAGTTCCCATGCATTTCAGAGCTGACCCAGGAGAGGCTATGAATTGGAATATACTCCTGTTGCCAAAATGAACAGCCAATATAGTCTGTTCTTGGCATGTTTTCTTGACAACCTCTAGGAACAAGACTGCTGCTGCCATCAAAACAATTTACTCTGCCACAGCCTCCTCATAAAGGGTCCTCAGGAGAAGCAGGTGGCAGAAGCACGTTACATACAGCCACATATTTCCTACGAGGCAGTATTTAAAAAGCCTAACAGAAATTCATGAGTCCTCAGAAATAGGACCAGATGCTCTCAGTCATTTCTCATCCACTTCCTGTCTTAGAGCGGAACACGGCTTCTGATCTGGTTCCTCCTGACTTTGCTGTGTTTACACACCACCTGAACAAATTTCATTTACATTTACAACTGTGGAGAACTGCAATGTCAGGCGTAGAGAACTTTTTCAGACTGAAAACAAGACATTTTGAAACAGATTAATTTGTATTTATTCACGCAAAAGTCCTCAAATCTTGGTATTTCTGTAGTATAAAAGAAATAAAAATGTTTACTTACAAATCCAGTTACAACAAGCAGAACCACAAGTGGATAACTACAATATAAAAATATGCAGTATTTCCAGACACTGCCTACAGTTGAACAGTAGGATCTTAAATGTTCTTCCCCTAAAATTCCAAGTATCAAGTAGATATTTCCATAAGGTTCACGTCACTCAGCCAAGAACCCTCCTAGAAGTTAGTCCAGTCCTTCTGTAGTAATGTGGGAGTATTCTGATACACAGATCACAGCCCACAAGATCTAGAACAAGTGCTAGAAAATAACTTCCTAGCTACACAGCTTGTAAAAGTAATGACTAGGTACTATACAGGAAAGTAATTTTCCTGCATGCACTGGAGCAAGCAGGCAAGAGACTAAACTCAACAGAAGGAAGACTACAACACAATGCTTCCCATCTGAGTACTGACATGTAAGAGGAAGAAAAAAATGTTCTGATGTATTTAGGCTTTACACTAATTTAGATTAAATACATTTTAATGTATTTAAAAATATAAGCACTATAGCCATTAATCAGGGCATTCTTTACTAATCTTATATGGTTGTTTCAAAACTCACAAGACCAAGAGGGTCTCAGACAATTCCACGACAATATATTCTCTCCTGTTGGCTCTAACAATGTAGTTACACATTTATTTGGGGAAAAAAAAAAAAAAAAATAAAAAATAAAAACTTACTTCTTACACACAGTGCCCCATTCTCTCACCATTTATGGAAAGTCACAAAACTAAAAGTTGACCATTCGTTCACACTAACAAATACACATTCAAACTCCTCCCCCACAACAGGGAGCTTCTCACACACTGATAGTTTTCTCTGATGATTTGCACCCTTGCACCCTCTTCAGAGACAAACCAAAGAAAGCATTAGCCATCTTGCTGCTGAATGAAAGGGTTTGGAATAGCTTCCATTCCATCTTGTGGACAAATAAGAACCACAGAAGTCCCTCTGCAGACCACAAGTCCCAGCTGACGTGTGTCTTCTGTTAATTTGTATTGATCATCTGGGTCTGAAAAGCAAAGATCCACAGTTACAATGGCAACATAAGGAAAAGAAACCAAATTCCATCAACTTCAAAAGGCACAGACTACATGTTTCTTCCATCTCTGCATTGTTATACTGAACACATGGACTATAAAAGTGATGCAGCAGTAATATCTGATGTCTTCAAGGTATTACTGATTTACTAATTTTCAGAAGTAGCACGTGCCATAGTGAGCAATAACTTCACTTTGTATGCAAAGCGGAACACATCTTTTAAAGAATTCAGAGGTCCTCTGATTCATCTAACCAAAAGCATACATACAAGTGATTAAAAAAGCTCCTAATCCCATTTCAAATGTCATTACATACAAACATTTTGGGATCAATGCAAACCAGAAAAAGACCCTGACTTCAGAATGCACTAAGTACATAATACACTGGTCCATGCCTAGACCAAGCCAAACAAGGCGTGGATTGGGACAGAGACACAAACACTTAACACAGCAATAGCCAATTCTACCCTCCTTGAGACATCAATATATTCGATAAAAATGTACTTCACTCATCTTTTAAAACTCCCTTCGAACAGCAAAATTAAAGCTTAAGGTGCTTCCTTGGTAAGCAGGCAAGAAAGTATTCTTCAAAAATGCTGTCCTATCACATGACAAATTTTGTTTCAGAGAGGAGAAAGGGAAATGGGAATATTTATCCTTAGATGGGAAAAAGAAACAAATAGTAAGAAAAAAAAAAAAAAACTACAGCTCTGTTAGTTCTAAGAAGATATAGAAGACTTTAGTTCCACAGAAAGGCAAAGATTGTATCTACAGTAGAGTTTATGACAGTAAGACACTAGTTTTTGCTGAGATGCTTTTCCTGCTTTGAGCCAACCAGCAACCTTCAAGCAGTATAAACAAAGGTAAAGGCAACTGCTTTATCTTTAAGGCAAGCTTTAGAGGACAAGAGCAGCAAATGAGTTTATAGAGCTCAAGCAGGGATTACCAAGAATGTTCTACCACAGGGAATGTGCTTAATCTAATTTCTGTTATTTTATCCCTTTCTTTACCATTTAGTTATCATGAACATATCTCAGTTCAGATGATGTCAACCTGCAGTTTCTGGTTATTTGCTCACAGAATTGTAACATTTTTGTTAAGAAAATTATTCTTGGGGGAAAAAAAAAAAAAAACACAACAGGCTTTACACAGATAGCATATTACTTACCTCGCATATACTCAATGGTACCATCAAGCACAAGGTTCAGAAGAGGGTCAAATCCTTTCAAGACACCACTTGCTATTGAAGACCACATACAAAACAATGATTAGAGACCAAAACCAGGTACACAAGACAGCATGAAGGACACATTCAGTTCTCCAGCTCTGTTCCCTCCTGCAAGCAAGGCTATCAAACAAATGAGACCACAGATAGTAAACAGTGCCCTCTTTATCCCAGTGCAAATGCACAAGAACCCAGTTGGTGTTGCACCAGCTGAAAGTTACAGGTTCAATTCTTCAAAATACTCTGTTTTCAGCCAATTTCAGGGGCATTTTAAGAATATTTCAGCATAACAAATCAACACAAGTCACACAACAAAAAAAGAAACCAACCCCAAAGCCAAATAAATACCTTTAGCAAAGCAGTACGTCAAAAAATAAGGCAAGACACTAATATTTTGAAGTGCCTTCCTCAAAAAACCCATTTGCCAGGTGCCTTCCTGGAATGTAATCTCTTTAGCATAAGCATTGCCTTCATAGGAATGCACTGCAGACAGACAAGCACTTTGTCCTAAACCAGAACATGATTCTACAATATCGGTTACTAAATAAATTGCAAGGCTACACTGATTGATTTCCAGTTTGAAAAATACTTGCTTATTACCAGCATAACTATACCTACTAACAGACCAAATCAAAGAAGAGACTCTTACAGTCCTAGGTGTTATATGAAGATCATAAAGGAACTCGGTGTGGAATTTTTGAGAAGAAAATCTAACCCAACAGATTCAATGGAATTGTCAACTGGCCAAAAACTACCAAATAAAAACCCCCAAACCCACACTTATCAGTGAGTAACTTCCAAAACCTCATAAGCATCAGGTCCCAGCAGAGTTTTAACAGGTTTTTAAAAGCAAACCCAGTTTGCTTTGCAAAAGCTTCTGCTGAGCATCTCCCACACAGCATGCTGTTAACTTTCAGACAAACAAGCAGTCTGCAGGCAGCACTATCAGCTGCATCGGAATGGGGAGCTGCAGGTACGGCATGGGAGCAAGTAAGGGGTCGGGGGTGGAAAGGGAACGATGATGCAAGAACCTCAAAAGTGATAAAAAGACATGGTGAGATATATTGAAACAGTCTACGAACTCCGCACACATTTAGTATGTTAAGAGATGAAAGCGTTGTCAGATGTATTAATCATAACACTCATAAATGTTTCTTTGCTGCTTTACGTGCACCCTTGCAGTGTGAAAGAACAAGAAGAATCAAGACAGCTGAAGACAATTTAAAAAAGATGAAAGAAAAGGGAACAAATGAAACTTAAAGATAAAATTGCAGTGAGGGGATTCATGAAAAAGTTACAGGAGATAAGCTTCACACCGGTAACAGCAAACAATAACAAATAAAAAACCCCACTTCCCATCGTATTTCCCTGAAAGAAAGCAATGACTGTACGGGAGCCAAAAACCGACAAAGAGTAAGGAAAAACGCCAAAATGCAAAGCTTCATGCTGCAGAGGCACATGCCTCACCATCCCCGTCCCGGGGCTGAGTGCTGGCTCACCTTCTCTCCCACCTTGGAATTTTACTCGGATTGTTTTGTCGATGTATTTGGAGAGATCCAGAATACTCTCCTTCTTTTTCTTCTCCTTATCCTAAAAAAGGAGCAAGAGCAACCTGAATTAAATAGAACCCTCCCCTGCCCCGCCCTTCCCCCCAGTTACATATATATTCCATAACACTTCTTTTTATTATGCCGTTTGTAACACGGCCGCGGAAACAGCCCCGGGGCAGAGCTCCACACGAAGCAAGTGCAAGAGAACAGGGCTGCCCGCCGCGGCAACAGGCCCGCGCCGCGCTGCACCGCCACCGCGCCCGGCCCGGCCCCGGGCGGCCGCCCCCAGCGAGAGACGGCGCCGGGCCGCCACTGCAGCCGAGGCCGCGCTCCCGCAGCCGCCCCGCTCCTCACCGCCATCTTGCTCGCCGCCGCCCCACCGCCGCCGCCGCCACTGCTCGCCATTTCATTCGCCGCCGCCAGAAGTGACGCCACGCCCCGGCGCCGCGCATTAGCGGCGGACGAAGGCGGGGCGGGACTTCCGGGGTGTGTTGCTGGGTTACCTGAGGCGGAAGGGGCTCAACCCGGCCCGGTCGGAAACAAAGAGGGTGGCGGCGCAGGGGCCCTGCTATGGCGGTGCGGCTCCATGTCTGGTTGCTCCTGTATTTTCTGCCGCAGGTGAGTGTCTGCGTCGGCCCCAGGAGCTTCTTGGGCCCCACGCCCTGGGCGGGGAGCCCTGTTGGAGTGGGGTGCAGTAGCTGGGCAGAGAGCGGCCACGGGCAAAGCAGGGCGCCGGCCCGACGCTGATCCCAGGGCGCTGGTGGGTCTGTGGTGCTGGTGGCCTTGCTTGATCAGACGGTGTTTCTCGGTCTGAGAGTCGCCTTCCGTGGCCAGTAAGGGCCTGGGGCTGTGCGGTCGTCAGCAGGAAGGGGCCGCAGCCCGCCGTCGCGGGGGGCCTGCAGGGCATTAACCGCCGCGCTGCGGCCCACTTTTACTGGAGGAGAGACGGCAGCGTCGTTCGTACCCCGGCCTGCGCCCCTACGGGTGTGTTCTGTGTCCTCCGCGACTTACCAGTATTTATATATATGTATATCTGGGTTTGTTTGTGGTTTTGCTTTTGGTTTGGCGTTTTCTTCTTCTTTTCGTAGTTAATAGCGTGCTCCTCATAGTTCTTAAAACGTCAGGCCAGTAGCCTTCTCTGGCCAGCCCTCAGGGAAGGGGATGCAGGCCGATGGGTGGGAGTGGGGCTGGGATCCTCGCAGCAGGGACAGCTCTTGCCTTTGGGTTCATCCCGACTGACAAACTTGCCCTGAGAAAGCAGCCAGCAAAAAAGAAAGGAGATTTGTGCTGAACCTGAGCCAATAGCCTGTCTGGAGATTTACATTCTCATTACTTACAGTATCAGTAAGTTTTCTGGGATAAATTTTTAAGGGTGTGACAAACTAGGCATGTAATCCTGTTACAGGAGAGAGTGGAGTTTTAGCTGTTGCATTGTATGGTACATAGCTGTGTGTTTTAAGGTCAGCTGCTTTGTGTTCTGAAAACGTTGAAGTGTCATTTAAAGTTCTTAGCAGTTTATTAGGTAATTGGGAGGGTACTATGTCTACTTGAGCGTTATTGATGTAGTATCTTAACACAACAGTCTGATTTTTCCCCTCTTCTGTACCTGTCTCCTTACTGATTCCTTACCAGTGATCTTTAGTTACAGAATGGTCTGGTTGCCAGTTAACTTTTATTTCTGTTTTATCTTCCCCTTTTTTCTTTTCCTTCATCATATTTTCCTGCATCATCCCTTCCTTGTTCCCCACACACTCTGTGCATTGGCATCTCTACTAATGCGTCAAGTGGACTGGTAGTGCCAGCATAGGCCCCACAAAGTAATAAGATATAAGAATGGGTCAAGGACTGATAGGGAGTAAGTTTGATCCATCTCTTTGGAAAAGGTGAGCACATCACAGTGTGAAAGGACAGCAAGTAAGATAATCTGCTGATGGATACTTGGAGATCTTGGCTTGAACATCATCCATTGCAGCATACTTCCTTTCTGTAAACAAGTCATTTAGTATGTTTGTGCAGTGAAACAGTGTTAACATGCTTGAGCAAGCTTTGAACAGGCTGGCCAGAGTGCTGAAACAGTCCTGCTGCTGTAGCAAAAAGCGAATTTACTTTATGCTGCTAATATGTTTCTGTTAGACGGGCTGGCTCATTTAAAATTTGTTTGAATACCTCGTATTTTGCAGTACTTCTAAAGCTCTTGTACTTGCTCTTGTCTCTATGGGTTTAGGTAGTACATCATCCTCAGCTTGAGGTAGAGAGGAGTGCAGCAATGAACTTGTACTACTGTGATACACCAGTTACTAATGGATGGGATTATTCTGGGGGACAGAGCTGACAGCTCTCACACTGAACTGTTGTGTGCATTTGCTGTGCACTAGCTGTACTCATTATCAATGGCTTACTCTTATCTTAATGTTGGTGGGTATATTTGGAATATATCTTTGTCTCCTTCCTTGAGATAGAATAATAGGATTTATTTATTTTTCCCTGGGATAGGGGGACATAGTGTCCACAGTTGCTTCTAAATTCTGATTTATATAGAGAGAAGGAACAGCTTGGTTAGTGAAGCATGGTTCTTCCAAATCTGGGTCCTCATCTGGGAACACCTGAACAGGGGTATGATCTTACAGATCCAAGAACAATCTGCACATAGATCTAGCTTTGGTATCCAGTCCCTCACTTTTCATTTGACTTCCTTCTTATTCTAACCACTCCTTCATGGCATTGTTACCTCTCAGTTTTCCTGTAACAATAGCAGATACACATGAGCTTGACTAATGAAGAATATAATGACATGATCTGCAGTGAGTGTGTTGCATCTAGCTGGTCTTCACTATACTAACTTTCAGCAGAATACTGCATTGAGGTGATGGTTTCTGTATTTAAAATCAGAGTGCTCTGTGATGTTGGTCCAAAGAGCTGAAAAGACTGTCTGAAATTCTGGATTAAGGTGGTGGTTGATGACTTAGTCTCATGAAATTGTTGCATTCTGAATATGAAACTCTCCACTGTACAGTGTTGTTGAAGGAGCATTTTCTTTGTGTGCAAATTTGCTGTCTGCTATTGATGGTCTCTAAATTGATCGGTGCAGTTCACAGGAAAGAAGCAGCCCCCAGCTCTTGGGAACTCTGCTATGTGTCTTGCATGATACATACTGTAAGAGTTGGCATAGCTCGCTCATTCCTTCTTCAAGGAACACAGCTCTTAGTGTCTGTTAAATCTCTCTGTCATTCAGGTGACCAAATCAGCTGATAGAGCTAATGAAAGTGGCAAAAGTGTATGGGGCATTTAGGTGAGTTTGGGGACAGAGGCAGGGAGGAACAAACAAGAATGAGCTACTAGGTTGGCTCAGTCACTCACATTGCAGTTTCTTGAAATATGAGTGAGCTGAATTCCTCCTCTCCACCTTCTTCCATCATTTAACTTCTAAACCCCAGTGCTTGTCTCTGAGCTGCGTTAATTCACCAACATGAGCAAAAAAACTAGGGAATGTCCTGCTCTTTTAATGCATTGAATAAACCATGAAAAGGTCTGATGAGATTCAGAGCAAACAATTAAATTGGCTTAGTGGCCTCATAAGTTGTTCCCTCAGACTTTACACTTCTGTTGTGTGAAAACCATTTCCTTGTTTTGCAGCTATAAAACACTGTGTTAATTATACAACAGTCTTCATCAAGCTATGATTCTAACAGATTTCCAGCTTTGCAGAGGTCTTGCTTGTGACATGGCACTGTTGTTGAATATGGATGCCTGATTGATAACAATGTTTAAATACAAATACTCTCTCCTTCATACAGGGAAAATAGATAATTCCCTACCTAAGAGAGAGAAGTTAATTCTGCTGTTTCAGGCTAGGAAGTCCATTCCTATTGAAGCTTGTCATAGTACTTTTAAAATCATATGTACTGTGTATCATAAAATACCTTATTGTCACAACAGCTGTTGTTTTTTTATCAATGTTTGAAAAGGGCTGGGATTGCTATCCAAACAGTTGGAAGAGAGCCCTTTGAGATTGTAGGAACAGTGTATAGAATCTGCACAGGAGACTACATTTTCTTATGGCTTAATATAGGATATGGAGTGATCTCTAGGAACTAAGTAACCACCATAAGTGTTGCCACCATCCCAGAGCATCAGCTGCACTGCTTTGAATTTACCTATGTTGTCTGATACCTAGTGATATAAATAAAACCAAAACTGGAAGCATCAAAGCCCTATTTTATTGAAACAAGAAACTCTGGTGCCTATGGCTCTGCTTAAGTGGGAGGATAAGAACAAATTTATAGTGGCTGTTAACAGACTTCACAACTATACACTGATGGTAAATGATAATTGCTTTGTAAAAATGTCTGTTAATCCACATTCTCCATGGACTCCATTCTCCACAGACTTTCTAAAACTCTGTATACCCTGTTCTGCTTTTAGCCCTATTTATATTCCCTTCAATTCCTCTCATCCATGATTTTTTACTTGTCTTTTGACACATAAAACCCCATAGCTTCTAAAATGTTTTGAGCTCTTTACATTAGGAACCTTTTACCCCTTCAATATTTTTTAAAGAACATTCATTAAGTTGCTCCGAAAGCTTAATTGTGTATTACTGTCTTCAGCGTGCCATTTGGGGATTATTACTGAGTTCTAGTAATGGTTATCTAAATGGAAATGTAGAAACACACCCTATAATTATTCTCTTGTTTTAATATGTGTAGCTTATGTCTTATAAATATAAAACTTTTAACTTGTATAGGTTGATTGTTTCTCAAATGGGGAAAGCTGTTCAATTATACATAGCTAGCTCCTACAAAACTGCCTGAAGATTTTGGAGGCAGTTAACATAATGTTCAAAACTGAGGTACTTGATGTTTGGGAATTTTTAAGCTCAGTCAGACCCTGTAACAATAAGTAGGAAACGCTTCTGTTCTGGTCTTTTGCCCGTCTCTGTATTTGGATCTCTGTGGCTTGTTACTCTTGAAAGTAAATTCATTATAATAATAATAATGGATTTTTTTCAATACTTCTTTCTTTTTTTTGAAAGGGTCTTACTTGCTATGGTTGGATAGCTGAGATATAAGTTAAAAAGTCAGCCATGGCAAATATGTGTTTAGCAAAAAAACTCCAACTTTTTTCCTCACTGCATATGTGGAGTAGTGTCTCCCTTCCTCCACAAATACCTTTATCTTGTAAACTTGCACTTTGTTCAAGTGGCTTTAATGTGCACTATAAAAAACAGTGTAACTTGCCATGCCCAGCACGCTTCAGGACAAACGTAGACTTTAGAGCACTTAGTGAACACTAGTGTCAAAAAAAAAGGAAAAAGTTGCTGCATGAGTTATTGAAGACCAATTATATATAAATGAGCTAAATATAAAAATCTCCACCTCCTGTATATTTTTAGGATCATATTTCTTTACTGCTTTGCTGACTTCTTGCAGTAGAATGGCATTATCTATCCTTCAGGCAGTGTAGAGATTGTTTATGTTTAAAGGATGATTCTTTGTAGTGTTCCAAAAAGCATCTTTGTACCCTGAGTGTCTCCTAGGGGTGCAGGGTAACTTCTGTGTAGTGAAGTTTGAAATAGAGAAATGAAAATGATGGATTCTTTTGATAGATTTCTGAACAAA